AACCCCCCCCATGACACCCCCCTGGTAACCCTCGTGCACCACCCCCCCATCCCGAAAAGTTTCTCAGCGGATTTGGGGTGTACTCAGCAAGTGCAGCACAGCCTCGAACTCACATTTGAAAAACAATCAGCAGATGGCCCTCTACAGACTGGTCGGCAGACCGCCGCTGGTGGCCCCTCCTGGTAGGCTGCAAAATGGTTGACGGTTGGCGGGTATACAAAAATGGCGAATAGGCTGGCTGGGACTCGACTTTTGTACTTGCTGCGATTCCAAAAATGGACTTGTGACGTCGTTCCCTTATCTTGGTCAGCTAGCCTCAATGATTGGGACCACCGAAGGACTTTCCTGGGACTGAGCTGTGACTTGACTGGGGACTGACATGTGGCCGTCACCTAACTGCAGACTCCTATGGACTTCCACTGACTTCTACAGACCCTACGCCCCCCCTATCCCACCAGTTTTTCTGTGCGGACGCCGGACTGTATGGTATCTAACATAATGTTCTCGTTCGGTCTACGAGGGGGATCTATGGTAAACAGGGAGAAGTTGAGGCATGGTACAGGGACCGAACTCTGAGACGCATGAATCCTGTCATCTGTATTCTCTTATCGTGTGGGATTGTGTCTCGAGCGCGTTGTATGTTCAGGTGTGAACTGTCGATGTTGTGATAAGCAGGATAAATTTGTGAGATCGGTGCGCACGAGTTCCTTTAGTGGCTTACAGTCATATTGGGCCCAGCGGCCAGTGCCAATACGTTGCCCCAGAGTGAATCCAGTGTAAATACGCTTGCTCTGTCGTGATTTGCACTTCTTCTCTCCGTGGCCTCGTTCATGAATGCTGCAATTTTCTAGTTGTTTTCTGCACGTATGCTTGTCCCTTTTTGTAATTTTGAAAAGATGCTAGTTTTCTGAGTATTATGTTCGGACGTGACCTGGATCTTCTTGATTTGTCTTTTTTTTTATACAAAAGCGAGGATTTGTGTGACAATTTTCCACCAGCCTAAGCAGTGGTCCTGACTCCTAAGTCCCATGCTGTGGAACGCAGCAACGGAACCCCTGGTTTGCAGGTAATAGGCTAAATTGGCCAATAGTAAACGAGCTGCAGGGTTAACACTCTTTGAAAGCAGCCTGCAAGTCAGGCCTGGGCAGCTCTAGACTTAACCCCAAGTGTTTTTTTTTTTTTTTTTTTTTTTTTTTTTTTTTTTTTTTTTTTTTTTTTTTGATACCAACGACCTAGACTTAACCCCAAGTTAGTTCAGTGTAACCATGAAATTGGTGCGCATAACATGCCCAGAGGGCAAGCGCCTATTTGAGGGCTTGCTTATCAGTCTCACAAGCAAGATTTTCCTGCCAGGTCTGTGTCCAAGCTACTTGTCATCATCACCTGCTGCAGTGGTGGTTTGACCCAGGCTAGACTGATTAGCTTGGAGTCCTTGGACACAAACAAGACCTGGCAGGAAATGACCCAGGCTAGACTGATTAGCTTGTTCCTGCCAGGCCTTTTTCTCACTGATCAGCTGTTTGGTGTGGTTCACTGTGTACTGTGATTTGAAAATTGTCGTCTGCAGATCCGGCCATTGGAGCTGAAAAACAGGAAGTTGACTGAGGAGTTAAGCAGGCTGCATGTGGAGTTGCAACAGGTTAAGCTTAATGGGGAGAGAGTGTGGTCAGAGGTGGGTAGAAGGATTCCATGGGCTTATATATCTTGAAAGTTGAATCTAAAAATAGGTGTCAACCAAGAAACCTTCACCAACAGCACGCCGCTGTACCTCACATAGGATGCTGTTTACAATCACAGTGTGATTTTGCAGTCTGTGCATGTGTCTTAGTGTTAAGAGCTCTGCAATTTTGGCATTATCTGAAATCTTGGGATTAAACTGGAATTTGTGAAGTATAGGGGGCATTGCTGAGATTGAGGGGGAGACACCTATTTCTTTTTCTTTTTTTTTTTTTTTTCCCGCATAACACCCAACCCCTTCTATTCTGGGGGGCATCAGTCCGGTTGCTCATCACCGGCAAGCCTGGAAAACAAAATACAGTTTGGTTTAAAAGAGAAGAGGAAAGCCTTGCCCTTGCGGCCCTAGACGCCTCTCAAGGGGGGGATTGCTACAACCAAACCCACTTCCCATACCATAGCCTTCCCAGGGACACCTCTGTTGGTCGGGAAGCTTCCTAGCAGCACCCAGCCACACAACAGACGGGTCCCCAGGGGAGGCCTGGCTCGGGGGGGCTGTTCTAGCAATCTCACGGGCCTGTCATCGTGTTAAGCCCTTCCTCAGTTTCCCCATTAAAATCCTCTGGGCACCATCTAATATTTACAGCTCTCGTCCTCATACCACCCTCCAGTCTCTGGGAGACACCTATTTCTTCTTCTTCTTTTTTTTTTTTTTTCAAAACCGGACCTTATGGTCCTGGGTCCATATCCATTCTGGGGAGCATCAGTCCGGTTTCTATTCCACTGACAAGCCAAGAGAATACAACAGTATACGCACACACGCTGCCTTCCGTCTGGCGGAAGGACCCCTGCACAGCGTTGGAGGATCGACTGTCAGCTTGCCTTTGAACTCAAAAGTCCTCTCAGGTAGGGTGTGCCCTGGCTGTCGGGTCTACTTAAAGCTCTAGACCCTGAGAGAGATGCCAAACCCTGTCCAAGCTCCATTGCTCATTGTTGCTGGGTGCTCTTTGTGCCTTCTCTGATATCCCTGTCCTCGTCTGTCCGTGAAAGCCTTGCTGTTGTCTTCGTCTGTGGTCCGCCCTAGTTGTCCTGCTATACCCTTTTTGTAGATAATAATTCTTCTCGTGTCCGGGAGATATCCCGACCTGTTGCTGTGTCTGAGTTGTGCAAGTCCTTCCACCTCAGGTTAAGTCCATTTATTTAGCCATGCAACTTTGGCCCTCCACCGTTCGCCAACCGAATCCGCTTGAATGTTGCTGTCATCACCATCTCTTTTGTCTCCACACTGTTCTGCACCCATGTTTTGACGTTCTTCCACTGGCATAGAATTTTCGCCTCGATCATCCCTTTAGTGGCAGCGCATACCTTCTCCCGAGTGTGGATTCTTGGCGTCCTCTAGCGCTCTGCTGCATCTCTCTTTCCAAATTGCCCCCAAAGTGTGACCTTTAATATCTTTCCAGACCAGACCCCCCTTTCTCATTTGCTCAGGTTAGAGGGGTAAGTTAGTCAAAAGGCGAAAAGTTGAAGGGGTTGTTCTGGAAGGGGGGGATAGGAAAACGCTATCCCATATATAGATCAGATGCCCTTGCCCAATATTCTGTATATATAGCTCCTTTGCAGTTCATCAGACAGTGTATTAAGTCTTCTCGTTCCTGATCTGAGCAGGCTTTGCAGGTATCGCAGCTGTTTGGATCATTCCGCCTTCTTCTAACACGCAGCCACTGATTTACCGGCAGGGCAGCGTATGCTACGAGCCACTGCATGCTTCTGAGCTTGATTGGTCTTATGGTTCTGTATTCTTTTCCCACGGGAATCGGGATCCTATATATATTTGTTCCAAGTCGATGCCAATTAGCTTACCCCACCTGCCCTTGATTACTGTAGTCTTCCAGGTCCTTTGTTTTCAATAACATTTTGTAACCTGAAACGGTATTCACCAGTTCGCAGTAGCAAATGCAGATCCCAGGGCTCGATCCCTAGTTCCCCATCTTACCTGTGTACAGTATTGATGAAAACCCGTAGATTTGAACCTGCAACCTGTCGAAACGCCAGTGGTAGGTAGATTGTCGTAGGTCACAGCTTAGAAGGGAATCGAATTGTAGACCTGTAGGGTAGGAGTCTAGACAGTTCCGAAGTCGTAGCTGTAGGATGYCTGAAGGGTCAAGGTCGTRGCTGCTACTTACCTGAAAGGRCAAAGTCGTAGCTGCTACAGTACCGAAAGGCCAAAGTAGAAGTTTCTAGAACTGGCCTTTCGGAGTCAGCCCCTGTTTAGGCCGAGGCAAGTGGGCAAGTGGTGCAGGTCCACTACGTAGAGTCAGCAGTCCCAGGTAGTCCAGTTCGGTCCAGTCAAGCAAGTACCGTCTGGGACTGTGCACATCGTGGGCCAAGGGATACAGGGCAGACCAACGCYGCACAGAAGTATAAATCAAGAGGCTGCGTCCAGCCATTCATTCATTCCTGCGGATGCCATGCGGAAGCGCTGCCTCAGCAGCTTGTGCGAGGAGGTCTGCAGTGCGCCCGAAGACGAAGAGGGCAGTGAAGTGTAGTGTAGCGATAGGATAGTGGCAGCCATAGCTGCCATAGCTATAGTAGTGTGTGTGTGTGTGTGTGTGTTGCGTGTAGAGTGTTGCGTGTGGGACATCCAGGGTGATCCAGAGTGCAAACAGTGAGTTGTGTGGGCACTCAGTCGCCATAGCCAGTTTGAAGAGAACTCTTACGTGGTTACGATATCTTTGAGTACTGTGTGGGCGCATGTCGCCAGTTTGCTGTTTCGCTGTTTGCATGCATGACAAGTGTGAAGAAGTCGAGTCTGATTGCA